TATGAAAATATTCCACATTAGAAGAGGTGGTTTTCGGCTGTAACAAAATTAATGTGTTTCACAAAACGACAATGGAAACTTTTCAATCACGCTTCTCATGTGATCGTCTGTTCCTCCAGTGGGAACACGCGGTTGTTGAAGACTACAGGAAGTGTTTGGAGGATGAAATTTTTTAATGATGTTTGTGATTTTAATTGTTTTTCTCTTTTGCATGGAACCAAAACGTGCAGACGCAACAGAAATAACCTTCAGTATTGAGACGAGGGTAAATACATAAGCTTCACTAGAAAATAATAACTATCCATTCATTATTTTTTAGTAGACAAATATAAATCAGGTGCACTTTCAAGTCAATTCACACAACGCTTCTCATCTTCTATGCTTCTAAGTTTTCTCTGAGATTAGACTTCTAGTTGAGTGGAAATTCCCCACCATTTGTAAGAGTGGAAGTTGTTTGTGTATCTGAGAAAACACAAACACTTAGCTGTCCTTGCATATGATTAGTGCCTCATGAATTTGGATGATACTAAATATGACGTGATGCAACCGTCTCCAGGGCCTCTCTCAAACAAATATGACACCTTGTTTCGGCTGAAGCTCAAACAATACAGTGTAATTTTCAGAATGTCAGGCCAGATTGTAAAGACGTGTTATTGCCACCCCCAGGTTTCATCAGATTCCAGTCAGTGGTGTCAGATGTATTTTATGTGACAACTGTAGTAACTCATGCATATCATCGCCCCTTCTCTGTGTACCACCCTACATGGTTCCCTTCCTTTCCTCCCCAATCAGTGGAGATTTAATTGCTCGAATGCAGCAATAAGATGTTGCAGCAACTGACAAGCAATGTCATAAACTGTGACCCAGTTCAGAAACCCAGCTCATTTACTTTGGGTGAACAAAGCTGAAAATAATGAAACTGGCTTAGTTTAAATTAGCTTAAGGCCATTTTATTCCATTTTATTTATTACTAATTAGTAAAAATACTAATTACAGGAAGAAATTACTGGAAATGACTAATTACTGGAAAAAAACAAACAAACAAAAAAAACCTGTCACAACTTGCAATGAGCAAAATTATTCCTCTGTTGACTTCTGTATTTTTTTTTATTGAGAAAAACTGCATTCTCTGCCAGAATTCCCTTTTTACTGAGCTTCTGAGACATCAGACTGCCTGAACCGGAGATCTCTGACTGCAATGCCCACATAACTCCTAATTAGCCAAAAGCTCAAACCTGTAAACTTAGTTGGTGCCTTGCAAAACATTTTACTCTCCCTGAACTGTTTTGAATTTTCTTTTGCAGTATGTCTGTCTCAGGTTTGCTTATCAAGAGTGACAGTTCGACAGTTCTTCTTAGGGGGCCGGTGATAAATCGGCCAGATGATATGTCGGATTTCCTTAAGTTTCGGACATCAACAATCAGCTAATACTTGCATCTTAAAACGATCTTATTTACTCCATGAAGGTATAAAAATCTACCACTGTCCTGTTGTGCTCTGCAGAAGAAGAGGGCTGACTGGAGTTTAGACTAAAATGTCCAACCCGACCAGAGCCGAGCCCGTAGACATGTCTGAGCCTGATTCCTGACATATTATTTTAGTTACGATCTCACTGATTTACTGAAAAAAACTTTAGTTTGTGTAACTGATAGGACCCTATAAAGTCGTCTATGCATGCAGTGTGCTGTGCTTGTTACAGTCTGATTAACTTCTGCATCCTACTTGCTTTCTTTATGTCCTCAACAGGTTAAATTATCCACTCCTGTATTTCGAAGTAGATTAACAACTTTATATCATGCATTCTTTTTGGCTTTCTCTCTGCGTATGTAGCACAGACTTACTAAAACCCGAGTCACCCAAAGTTGCTAACTCAGCAACTTTTTGCAGCTACAAAAAGAATTTCCGAGTTGAAAATCTTGCAAATTCTGTCAAAATATGGTTTTTGATTAAAATGTGATTTGTTGATTACAGACCCTGCAACAAACGTGATTGAAAACTTTAATGCAGTCCAACCGCCAAGCCTCTCAATAAGTGACAAATCAATTAATTGCACAATAAATTAAAATGAGAACGATGATGTCCGTTTGGTCAACAGTCATCCCCTTTAAAACATTTGACCCCTGCACTCCCTGCCACTTTTGTGTGTTTTCCCTGTCAAAACTGAATGACTTATTTTTTGAAAAATGATTTTGGTTACAAAGACTTAATTTTCCATTTCCATTATTGTTATTTAATTTGTTGTGATTTATTTTGGAAATTAAAACGTGTTTATGTTTGAGTGGGTGCGCTTGCATTATTATGCTAACTGAAAATGGTCTCAAAATGACAATATTATCGTTTATCGCAATCTTTTTTGGGATACTTTATCATCTAGCAAAATATGTTATTGTGATGGGCCTACCAACCACCAGTAAAATACTGAACCATTATTCCTTTCCCTTACATTTTACAAACACGGGTTGCTTTTTCCTGGTCTATCATCCAAGATCCTGATGAAACACATTCAAATTTGTGATTGCAAAGGGGCAAAATGTGCAAAAAGTCCAAGGGAAATAACACAAATTAGTGTTGTTTTTTTTAAGCAATAAAATACTTATTCCCTCTAAAATTTCTTTAGTTTTTTTGTGTCTGGGCTCCTGTGAGTCTGACTTGTCGTCCGCTGTCTTCCAGGAGTCCCACACGCGGTTCTCTCCGCAGGCGGGAGGGACTGCCTGCACGCCGGAGACACCTGCTCCAGCGATGACACCTGCAGCCCACGACTGCGCACCCTCAGGCAGTGCGTGGCGGGAGACGGCAGCATGAAGCTGGGGCCCGGGGCGCGGAGCCAGTGCGAGAACGCCATGACGGCGCTGCTGTCCACTCCTCTGCACGGCTGCCAGTGCAAGCGAGGGATGAAGAGAGAGAAGAACTGCCTGAGCATTTACTGGAGCCTCCACCAGTCGGTGCTGCACGGTGAGATTAGCAGTGCGCGCACAGAGAACGTACGGCTGAGCGGTGGGCGAGAGCAGGTACATGCTGCGTGTTGGTGGGATTACTGCGTGTGTTGCTGGCCACCGCGCGTGAATGAGGTGCCCGCCTCCACACGGCTCAACGGCAGAATCCGGGCTGAGAGTGAAAAGAGCGATTATTATGTCAAAAAAGAAAAAAGAAAAAAGAAAAAAAAAAGGTAGAAAAACCAGGGCCCAGATTCCTTTTATTCCACCCACGCACATTATATTTGATCACTTTTGTGCTCATTCCCAGCGCTCTTCTCTGATCATCGCCGAAGCCCATTATTTGTCATACCCTGACATTCAAGAGGAGGCATTTAGCGGGGAGTTTTACTTTCATCACGTAAGAAAGCGAGTGCAGCGGAGGCATGGGGATGACAGCGCCGGGTGTTTTGTGGAAGGCAAATGCAAATGCGAAGTCACAACACCGAGATGCGCAGATGAAACAGAAGCGTTTGAGGTGTACATCAGCCAGCGGTGATTCTTACCGGAGAGCTGCAGCGGCAGAAATGTTTGTGCACGTTTAAAAACTTTAGAAATTCTTGTATCTAAAATTAAGGCCTTAAAATGTCTTGAATTCGTTTTAAAAATGTAAGTTGGCCTTAAATATGTTGATGACATGTCTTAAATTTTCTCCTGCCAGGACTAATCTTACATTTTATACAGTTTTTTTCTCGTGAGACATTTTGCTCCGGCAAAAATTCAAGTCACTGTGTTCTCTGACGGTTGCGGCTACCTGTAACTAGCTGCTAATACCCTTGCTGGTAAGCTAGCTGACTAGCGTTTTTGTGTTTATCATGGTGTAAATTTATCGCCAGTTGACTGGATGACATTCATGTTTGCTACCGGTTCACTTCTGTTAAAAACACATTCACAGTTTTTATCTTGTGTCTTTCTGTTGTGATACAGGTAATAAGTTTCATCCATAATGGTGGCAAAATGTGAATTTGTCAAAATCTGCCAAAGCTCTGATTTGTACAGTTCCGCTGATATGCTACTGTACCTGATCACTTTTAGCAAGAACTATTAAACTATTCAGTCTTCACAGTTTGTCACCTAAACTTAAATTAGTTTAATTTTAGTTTAATTTATTCATTTTTAGCAACATGTAGGACTGGATATTTATTGTATTGTTTATCATCATCCTAAACATTTCTTGTAAGATATTTGATTTATTGTCGATGAATTTCAATTATTAAAAAAAAAAAAGACTTGTCTGAAACTTTTATTTTTACTTTATTCTCCACTGTTTCACAAGAGCATCAATAAGTTTTGGTGAAGTCAAAAATATAATGAAATGCAGTGCAGTTTAGTGATATAAATCTCCCTTCTTTAAGTAAACGTCCTGAAGAAGCTTTTTTAAATGAGAATGTTTTTAAAAACATTAAAGCCATACAGTTACCTAAAAAAACTAGCAATAAATGGTTTTTTACTGTCATTTTCATCATATTCACAGTAGCCCTAAAAGTCCTGCTCACAACAACCGCACATTCTGATTTACAAGCACAAACTTTATACCATGGATTCTTTCTTTTACATCCACACATTCCTATCTGTAGAAATTCACAGCCATTTTATTTTACAAGACAATATTACTACTAGAGGAGGCAGCCAAGAAGAAACTCCTGACAAAAGGAAGCATCAACACAGAAAGCCAGTTTGCAGCAAGGACACGGCTGCCCTGCAAAAAATTGGTAAAAAAAAAAAAAAAAAAAAAAAAAACATTTTTTCTCTGATAAATCTTCCCAAACTCATAGTACATTCGAGATCTATTTGTTCAGGGAAGAAAAGTTAAAAACCTCTATAAAGTCCTGAGTGAAAAGTGAAGCATCCTGGTCCAATATCCCTGTGTGGGTTATTGCTTCCCATCTAGTAAAATAGCTTATTCACAATACAATGCCAACAAAAAGTGGGATCAAAAGTCCACATGAGCAACGATTCCATTTTGTTAAAGTGAGTGATAAAGTAAACATGATAATCTAGTGGCTTAAGGGGGATACGCATCAGCCAATAGGGTTGTGTATCTCTGGTTGACAACTGATTTTAATTGTGACAATGTGACCAATTAGATATTAGCTCATTTCTGTGGTGAAAAAAAGGAATTTCACATTAATTTTGATTATGCAAACTTTTTCGGGTGACCTCCGCCTCTCAGCCGGTGTTTCTTGGAGACAGGCACCAGCCCTGACTCACTATTGAGCCGCTTATGCTAAAACATAAAGAAGCCAACAAATTTATCAATAACAACAAAGGAGTGGGTCAACATTTATCAATATCTGACTCAAAAGTTGATATCGGATTACAGAAGCTGAAAACGACAAGGCCAAGTGTAAATATTACTGAGTCTTAGGAAACGGCTTGACACAACAAAAAGACAACGAGCTCAATTAGGATTTACCACAGAACACCAATGAAATGCCCTAAGCAAACTTAGACAATGTAAAATGTTGCTGCAATTTTGGGCTATTCAATCTGCTTTCTTTGTGTTTTCCAGGACTGAGTCTGGTGGAGAGCTACCCCTATGAGCCAGAGGAGAGGGGCTCCGACTACGTTCGTCTGGCTTCCATCGCTGCAGGTAACCGGCAAGCAGAGTTTCCTTAAACTACCTTACAAAAACACTAGAACAACACAAACCATGCATGTCACAACAGAAATAACAGCCAACGTCCCCCACAAGTCCTTTATAAAAATATTAACATCCCGTATCATGTTACAACCACAAACCTAATTGCTTTTCTTTGAGATGTGATGTTCCAAACCAATACAAAGTTGTGACGCAACATCAAACTGATGTTTTTTTTTTTTTTTTTTACTTTTCTTTACAAACACAAAAATGAAGGAGTGGTATGCAGTAACACTCTTCTGATTCTGGTCTGTTCTGGATCCTCAGAACCAGAACCAAACATGGAGAAGCAGCTTCTATGCACCACAAATCTGGAGCAAACTTCTAGAAAGCTGCACATCAGACGAAACACTGAGTTTCTTTATATCCGGTCTAAAAACCTAGCTGTTTGGAGTTGGAACATTGACTGTAATCTTTATTGCTTGTTTTATGTTTTTATGGCATGAAGCACTTGATTTGCGATGCCACTTTACAAATCAACTTGACTTGATATTCCACCAACGGCCCAAAAGTAGCTTCCCTGTAACATGACGCAGCTCCGACTGTGTTTTAAGGTTTGGACCAATGAGTGGCGAGGCTACCGAACATTCACTCAACGGGGCTGAACACAAAAATTTGCCACATTCTGGTAGATCTCTAGATAATTAAAAAAATAATAAATAAAATCTAACAAATTATCATGCATTCTTAAAATACATTAAAACTGTAATGTGAGAAAATGTGGAACAGCACAAGGGATAGGGAGAGTCAGTAGAAGCCGTTGTTGTCCTCCATCATTTTGACAGAACACAGCGGTGGATACACAGGTGGCTTTGTGAAGTGTTTGATGAGTTACAGGCCTCAGTCTCCTTTTGTCTCGCCTCTGAGCCCGTGGGCAAGCCGTGGGGTTGGTATGCGCGGCTGTGTGCCCCCGAGGCACAGTTTAATTACCTATTTACTTTAATGCAGAGGGAAGCACAGACACTGGGTAGCAGACAGACAGAAAGACGAAGCATAAAAAAGAAATAAATATTAGATTGACAAAAAGAAAAATGTTTTCTTTTTTATTTCTTTGAATACTTGGAAAGGAGAAGAAAGCCTGGCACACAAGTCAGAAGCTTCATTCATTTCTTGCCGTCAGAGAAGACACGAAGTCATCTGCTTTTATTTGCCCGACATCAGCTGCACTTTGAAATGGTGAAGCTGAGACAGAAAGTCTGTGAAGTGTGTTTTAAATAAACAGATTACGAGAGAAAACACTCCTTTGTCTAAGATTTCACAAAAAAGTTTTCAATAAATGATCCCATAATTTAGTGAAAGGAGCCTGAATGTTGAAATAGTAGTTTCGCCAGGACGTGGATGAAGTGAGCAATAATGACTTGCACGTGTTTAATTACACATGATTGTTATTTTTCATTCCAGATTTGAATCTTTAGCTTAGGTTAGGTTGGTAGACTTAGATCAAAGATCCCATTTAACGCCCACTCTAATCTAACTGGAGTGGCCTAGTCAAAGACTGGACTTAATTTAAATGGTAAATGGCCTGCACTTTTATAGCACTTTATCAAGTCTAGATGACTTTGAAACCCTTTACACTACATTCAGCTATTCAGCCATTCATCCATGTTGATTGGTGGTGAGCTATATTGTAGCCACAGTTAGCATTAGACTGGCGCCCTTGACCTCCATCAGCAGGGAAGGCAGGTGAACCGTCCTGCCCATGAACCCAAACACTGAGCGGGGTAATGTAACATAGAGCGATATGTTTGAATTAAAGCGCTTCTACAAAGTGAAGTCAGCCAAAATTCCTCCACCGCCATGCAAGAGACTCATTGCCAATTGTCTCAAACACTTAATGCTGCTTGTCGATGCCATGGGTGGCAGAAAAAGAGAGGAATTCTCTAAGGGGGTAAATACTTCTCTCAGCATTGCGCTTTGCACAGCAGTTCTGCTTGAAAAGCTTTGTGAGCGCAAAAAGAATGAATCAGAGGAAAGTAGTCCACAGCATAAAAGTGCTTGATGCTTTGCTCTAAACAGCAGGCTGATGAGGCTGAATGTGTCGGTGAGTATTGCTGTGTATTCAGAGTGCTGGTTCTTCCCAACACATAGACACCGTTTAGCTCTCTAACCACAGCACAAACTATCAGAAAGAGGAGATTTACCTTCCACACCTTAGGCCTGGATCCGTGTAAAGCTGCGGTAATACTCTTCTGCCATTTTTGCTGACATGTTATGCGACTCATTTTAAGGAAATAAAGGAGGTTTGTAAAACAACAAACCCTTTCAGAGGATTTTCCTTTAAATACCATACATATCAGAATGTATTATAAGCCTGGCGGGCCACCAGGCTGTACTTGCCTTTACCCTGTCCCATCAGGCTAGACGTTGTTTATTTTAAATAGGTTTTTATACACCAGTAACAGTAAGGATGGATTAAGCTAGGTTTACAGTTGACGCATTGAACTGGGTGTGAGGCGTTGAGCACCAGTTGTGCCGTCCCTGCACAGTTCTGTAGCAGTGGTATATAGTTTTTTCTTTTAATCAAGGAAGGAGATGTTGCTCCATACCATCATGCTGCCTTGTAAAAGCAGAGTTTGTCATGGGTACAACAACCCACTGCAGTTCTGCTCACAAATGTGAGTTGAGCACATGACTAAACAGAAAATTGAAGCTAAGGAGAAATCAGAATCAACTGGTATTGGCAGGTTAAAGTTTTCCAAAAGGTCTAATTTTCACTTCAGAAGTAGGGCTGGATGATACGAGTGAAAAACTTATAACAATTAGAGTTTCATTTAAGTCGATATTGGTAACTGGTTTAAATACCTGAAATATTGCCAAAGTGGTGGTATGATCTTTCCCGTTTTATCCGCAGTAAGAAGTCATGAGGGACGGTGGCAAAACTTGAAACTGCTGCGCATGTTTCTTAAGTTATTGCTAGGTGACCACAAGTAACTCAACAGGTTGTTACCAGGTAACCAAAGCCTGAGTAGTTAATGCCACCAACCATATGTGAGGTGTCTCAGTGAGAGGTTGAGCAGCTAAAGCTTTTCATTTGCCTACATCTACCAGAATGCAATTGGAGTTCAGTAACAATTCCATATAGTAAATATTCTATCACATGTATTGTCTATTGATATTGATCACATTGATTGTGACATATATGGTTATTGATTTATTGCCCAGCCTTACTCAGAAGTCATCTTTCCTTAGACTGACTGGCTGTTTTGGGTTGATTGGTTCATTTTGCCTGAATTAATGAAAGCATATAGCTAACTCATTATCTGATATTTAATGAAAACGGCCAAAGAATTTCCTGAAGGTCTCAAATATTTCTAATTACTACAGGCATTGTCATGTTTTGTCACCTCATACATATGCTGCTCACTGGAATGACACCCATTGTTCCTCCGCTGCTCTGAGTTACAGCCGGGCTGGACAGGCACTGTACCGCGTCCTCATAAATTTTATTCCTGTAACTACACAGGAGGTCAAAGTTGACATCCACGCCGTGCATCTCGACAAGTCGGCTGCCAAAACAACGGAAGCGTGATTAATGGATGTTTTTCCACCCTTACAGCACGTCTCCCTCAGACAGAGTAATGACCCTTTTCAAAGATGCAAGCCGGAGCTGCAGCTCGTCATATTTGGAAGAGTATTCAAATAACAAAGTGCTTCACCCTGCACCAATTAATCAGCTAACTGCAGTACAGTCAGTAGCGTTGAGAGACTGCATCTATTGGAACACATTACATGTCCTGCACCCAAAGAGGAGCTCTTTAATGCATCGTTGGCCCGGAGGAGGGCTACAAATTGTGCTTCCTCATACAAGAATTTTACACTTCATGCTCCCTGGCTGGAGAGAAAATACGCCATCAGTTGGGTTTGCGTTGGGTGTCTGATGCAACAAGTTGCTTGTTAAAGCAATAAGGAAATCAGCTGCTTAGATCCAGCAGATCCAGCATCACTATGTAAGTCCATGTTGCCATGGAGTCCTGTAGAACAACCCAATGAAGAGTCCACAGTTTTTGTCGCATCAAAACTGAAGAATTATCTTTCAAGTCAAATGGTGATTAAGTTCCCAAGTTGGGATTAAAATGAGCTGTAATGCCCTGTAGTGAAGTGTCACATAGGAAATGAAATTATAAATTATGGCTGGACGTCATGAAGCATTTATATCATGATGTTTTTCAGACATATAAATTGACAACATTGAAACTTGGTGATTAGTTGCTAGTTTTAAATATCTAAAATACTGTCAAACTGATGATTCCTGCTTTATCAACAGTTCTTGTTGATAAAGTATGTGTTTTCAATTATTTTTTAGCCCTTATGAGGAATGGTGACTTGAAACTGCTTCTGCACAAGTTAGTCAACAGGATGCTGCTAGGTAACCAACAAGTGAGTGAGTCGGCTGATGCCACTGATTTTGCTTAGCTAGCCATGAGAAGTTGAGCAGCTAAAGTCTTTCCTCTGCCTACATCTCCCAGAATACTGTGTGGTTCTGGATTGGGAGTTCAGTGAATATTCTATCAGATGTATTAAGTATTGATATAATAAAAACGTGTCCATCATGATATGTACACTGTAGAAAAATGTATATTAAAGATACAACAAAAGACTGTCAAATAGCAAGTAAAATAATATAAAACCAAAAATGCAGCAAATAACAGTAAATCAAAGGACTTGAAAAATTAGACTTTTACTGTAATTAAAAAAACAAAAAAACAAAACAGTGATTATAGTTAAAACAAATAAGGCATTACAAACTGAACAGAAGAGAAAAAAACCTGACAGCAGCCAGTTTCACTTGACAGGCAGCTGAACTGCTGAGCATTGCAAACATCTAGGGGCTCTTCTCGACTGCCAGCTGAACTTTTCAGAAAACAGAGCGTCTTTATAAGTGGGTTTGGTTGCCCAAGCTGCGACTACAAACCTAGATTAAACAGGATTGGGTCTTGGGAATTGTAATATGTGGGAACATCTCAAATTTGCATTGACATGACAAGGAAAAAAGCCAAGAAAAAAAATAATAAACAACCAACTGTTAACATCCATTTCAGGAGGAGTTACTGTGTTGTCGTGGCCACAGGTGTCTTTAACAAAGTTATTTGTCCCAAATGTCAACAAGCAGCCCTCAGACACTGAACTGCTCTGTGATTATAGGTGTTTTTGTGGTGAGGTTCAGTTTTGTACCCGTCTATTATTTGTGAGCTAAAATATCTTCTACTTCTTTTTACTTTGGTGGAAAAAAAGATGCATTCTGTTCTATTATTTTGTTTTTTATATACTTTATGGATGAATAAATTCTGTTTTCCATTTAAATCATTGTCTTATAGCTCTTTCTGGATCCAAGTTGTCTAGTTGAAATGAAAACATCCACCCAAGTATTAAGCCTCTTCAGCCTCTTGCAAGTTTTTTGGGGTTGAATTAGGGATTAAATTAATTAATCAACTTACAATTAATTGTCCATAAATGGCTAATTTTTCCCCCACCATTTGATTAAATGACCTTCTGCCAGGGTTGCTGTGTGGTCTCCATCCAGCAGCGGGCTGGTCATCCTTAAGCAAAACCAGTTAATACAGAAATAAAGATGGCAGGGGCATCCCAGAACAGGAAAGAGAAACAGTCCAAATAGGTGTGGGGTGCAAAATGCTGTTTATGCTGTTCTTTTTTAGATACACTCAAGTTCCTTAAGTTTAATCTTAAATAAAGCTCATTCAGTCGAGCTGCGTGGTGAAGCAGCATTAACTTCTTAGTCAAAAATTACTTATGCACTATGTAGGTGAGGATGCGATAACAAAAGCAGAGGGTATAATGCAAAAAAAAATTAATAAGGTGGGAAAAAAACTGTCAAAAAGCAAGGTTGAGTTTATTAAGATGAGAAAACCACAACTTTCTGTTTATTCAGTCAGTGTTTGACAGCTGACACACAAAAAATCAGATATAATGATGTGCTTCTTTATTCAAATTCAGCATATTAAAAATTTAGCTCATGTTATGGAGAGAGAGTCGGCCTCTAGACACAAGAGAAAACTTGTATTTTTAAGAAAATGGCCGCTTATCAACATTAGTCAATCATTAAAACTAGTCAACTTTAGATGAACTCAATTGATAACTTGCATTGCTATGGTGAAGATTTGTGAGACCACCTATTTATGTTAAAGTGGAACTAAAACTGACATGAAACCATCCAGACAAGTTATGAAAATTCCAGAGTGGAAATGCCAAGAGACACCAACACCAGCTGTGTTTCCCTTACAAATGTGAAAAACCTTGTTGATATTCCGCTAATGTTGAAAAAACACAATTTTGCAATTGCAGTGTTTCTGTTAAAGGAATGAAATTAAAACCACATGTGCAATGATCCCTCTACCACTTCTTCATCATATTCGCCAGGAGTAACATCCAATAACTGATCATATGACTCGTGCAATGCCGGGGAAAAAAGTGCTTCCATTGTAGTTTTGTAAAATTAACAAATTTTGTTACAGCTGAAAAACCACCTCATCCTAGCGCAAAAACTTTTTAACTTGAGTTTTTTTTTTTCTTTTTTTCTGAGATGGTGTGTTTCCATTAACCAAACATTTATTTCAAATTCACACTGTTTTATTGTCGATGGCAACACAGTTACTGTTACGGCATGTTAGCAGCAGATTAAACGGTCATAATAGCTGAAAAAAAGTGCCCAAAGAACCAAAAATTTAATTTACAATGCAACCTTGCCATTAACGCCCCTTTAGGAAACAATTTGTCAAAGTCCAACCAGTGTACGCCGGTGGGCTTCCAAGCATTTAAGTCAGGAACACAGTAACCCGTGCTCTGCAATGGGCCGTTAGCTCGCTCTCCAAGGTCACTCCTTTTTTCATATACGACAGCTCAGTCAGAGTTAAATCCACCTGGAGACACAAACACAGTCACTTAAACTAATGAGCGCCTCTATCTGCTAGAGGAGCTGAGCGTCATCATGGCAGTATTGACTGTGTGGTGCGGGGAGGGGGATCTCTTGGGAGGAAAAAAAAAAAAGAGAAAACATGAACACATGATGATGGATTGGGAAATAATGCGGCCGAAACAGCAGCGGTTGTGAAGGGAGCTTTTCACTGCCTCCACAGAGGAGACTCATTAACAGGGAAGGCAGTGAGGGAGGAAGGGATGGAGCAGACTGTGGAGAATAGATGAACAGACAGAGACCTGAGCAAAAAGAAAGAAAAAAGACGGATGACAACGGAAGGAAAACGGGTAGGGAAGGAGAGAATCAGGGGCTTGAGGGATAGCCCCAGATGTAAAGGGGGGAGAGCTTGATAGATGAATAGATTGATGAAGGGGAAGGAACAGTAATTACAGACCTTGTTGTGTGGTTGGAGAGATGGAGGAGCCCCCTTCTTCTCCGCTGCCACTCTGCATTAACCTCGCAGAATGAAATATTCAGCTATTAGGCCTTGGCTGAAACACATCCAGCACCAGAACTCATGCAGCATTTAAACACCACTCATGTTCTATTCATTGCAAAGAGGTTTATTACAAATAATCAGCAGTTTTGGATTTTAACTCCAGATGCAGTTTTATGGTTTTATCCGCCGCGTCTGAATCCGGAGGTGTGAGAGTGGCGAGTTGCGATCAGCCCCAATTAAGTCTGGGGATCATTTGTAAACATTGCATGGGATTTGAACTTCTCACACACCACACAGAGGGATAAAAAGCTTTGTTTGTAACCTCTCATTTGTGTGTTTTTTTGTTTTTGTTTTTTTGTTTATTCCCACAGAGTCTGAGGTAACGACAGTGAACCGCTGCCTGGATGCCGCCAAGGCGTGCAACATAGATGAGACGTGTCAAAAGCTGCGCACCGAGTACGTCTCAGCCTGCATCCAGCCGTCGGCCCGCTCGGGGCCATGTAACCGACCAAAGTGCAACAAGGCGCTCAGGAAGTTCTTTGACCGCGTTCCCCCCGACTACACCCATGAGTTGCTGTTCTGTCCCTGCACTGACACAGCCTGCGCCGAGCGCCGCAGGCAAACCATCGTGCCGTCCTGCTCATACGAAGAAAAGGACAAGCCCAACTGCCTGGCTCAGCTGCGAGACTGCAAACAAGACTACGTGTGCAGGTAGACGCTTGGCCCGTTTTTTAGAAATGTTCGTGTTTAGACTGTCTGAACGTGGCATCGCAGCTGGAACTCAGTTAAGAGTTGACAATTGCCTCTTTACATGTTAGAAGTTATGGACCTGCTGTCATCTGAACAAACATGCCGCTCCATAAAGAAGACATTGAAGGCTGCTGTGAATGCTCAGGCTAGTTAGCATAGCCACCGATGACGGCGGATAAACCGTCAATGGCAGAGAAAGTTGTTTCATTGGCACATTTAGCAGCACGTACAGACGCATGCTTAACAATGCCAACACACTCCTCCTGGCTCTGATTGGTTGGTTTTGATTGGTGCGTTTCTTCAGATGAAAATAGTGGAACCAGGAAGAGGAGGAGGTCGATGTTTGTCATAGATTATCCGTCTCGTGCTCTCATGACATAATTTCAACAGATATGCACAAAACTTGTATAAAAATGACATACTCCACTTTAAAACAGCAGTATGTACTCTTATGAAATATGTTTTTTACATATGTCTTAAAACCATCACCATTTTATGACAGTTTGACATGAGACAGATAATCTCTGGGGGGCGAAAAAAGTACAAAAACTGAGCTCCTTGGCCTTTACCCTGTGGTTCTAAAGCAATCTATAGATATATACTGCTCTGTCATGGGGAAAAAACAAAAAAAGAGAGAAGAGGAGGGTCTTAGCACTGTCGATCATGCTCATATACATGCAACTCAATGTGCCAATAGCAGAGAAACAACTTACAGTCACAGAAAAACCGCTTATCCAATGTCATCAGTGGCCATGCTAACTAGCCTGAGCATTTCCAACAGGCTCTGTGGGGGACTAGCAATAGCCTAGCCTAGCAGACAGCATGGGGAAGGGTGTGAGTAGCATGTACATGAGGGTGACTGACAGTGCCCCAGTGGGGAGGCCAGAATTCTTCACAGAGGAGTAAGTGGGGTGCATGGATTCCCACATTGACACTGTTTCAATGGGTTTCGCCTGCAGTCTCTAGCTAGAGAACTAAAATGATCAGACTAGTGTGACTTTAACTGGATTCGTTCTATACTGGGCAGAAATTCTTTAAAGCAAAAGAAGACCACAGGGAAGTCAGGAGGGGCTCAGGACTCTATTCAAGGATGATTTACTGCTAGAGAATAAATTGTATTCTAACCTAAAAGATCGGTTTGCCAAGTGTGATGTGTTCATTTAGATGCAAGCTGTCAGTTGTGGTTAATTATTCTCAGTTGTGATATTTGTTAACTTCATTTAATTAGCTCAATTAAAGTCCGCATTCATTCTCTGAAGGACGCAGCTAGCAACAAGCAGCCGTGTCTTTATCACTTGAGATTCGTTTTGTTTTTCTGGATGCTCGCAAAATATTAAACACTGAGACGTCCTCTGGACATGAGAGCAAACGACAGAAAATGCATGCAAAAAAAATATGTTATGGTTGCACAGCCTAAAATGTGTTTATGTGACATACTAATGAAAACTAGATGCCGTGAAAAATTTAATGAATCAGTTTGTTGAATCAAAAATCCAAACAACGTCATGAAGTCATTAGGATGCACACAGGATGTCTCTCGAGAGCAAGGACTTCTCACACACGTCCCGTCTGTTTTCTCTGTCAGCAAACCGTCGCCAACATTTAATCTGGCTCCTTTCAAATGTCAAAAAGACAAAGGACTTCATCTGTCATGGCTATCGATCAGGTGTCGTCCGACCACGAACGGACCATCTCAAGGCCTTGTCTTGGCCCCCCTCATAATCCCATACCAGTCAGCTGGCATTAAGTGCCCGCCTGTGGAGGCTGCCTTCTCTCACTGCACAGCCCTTTGAGTTTTATGCACATCATTACATTGACATGACAAATGAGGGCAGGACGCAGAGCTGCGGCGCCCTGAGGGAATCCTGCTGCAAGTTCTAGTGGATGGGGTGGCCAGTGATGCAACGTAATGGTCACGATAGCCTTGGTTGATGATGACGGTTATGTGGGTAGTGGTGTGGGTCGCTGACTGAAAAGGTAAGGAGGGGGAGAGCAAAGTGACCGTGGGAGGAAGTGTTCATATGCAGCATCCATATCCATCTGATATTCCAGCAATGGCTGGCAGGGAGGCGTGCCGTCTGCCAGACTGCACCGACGGTATTTAGAGAGCGGAGCCAAGGCCTGTCTGTGCCCCTCATTGACTCTATACAGTCTGGCAGCCTTCCAGATGATAACGGGATGGGGGAAAAGAGTGTCCAGATCGAAACGGAGGAATGAATGTCACCAGAGGTGACTGGATTATGGGTTGGAAGTGCCGTGGAGTGGGAACTCTTGCGGAGCGGAGGGAGTTGATGTAGGAGTACGAGTATTTAGATGAGCATTGTGGGTTTTAGATCTCCGTCCCGTTGTTAGGAGAAAGCACCAGTGCTCGACACCACTGAGCGACACAATGAGTGCAGCGGCCAAGCAGCCGGCGAATGATGGATGGCGTGTTATTGCCCCCGCAGGTCCCGCTGGGCACAGTTCCAGTATGACTGCGAAGCATCCGAGCACAGCGCCAGTGGCTGCAAGAGAGAGAATCATGGATCATGTCTACTGGCGTACACCGGCTTGATAGGTAAGGACCGAGCCTTTCGGTTTCACTTCTTGCTCACTCGCACCAGCCTCTGTGATATATCTGGATCAAAAAAGGGCCTTTTTATGCCAAGAAAGGCTCAGAATTGTCAAGCCCACTGAACACGACTCAAAAGAACGAATTGAGGAGCATGCCTCAGTGATCGATGGTGGTCTGATTATAATGCTAGTGGCTGTGCACATTAGAGCAATTACAACTATCAACTGCTGTTTTAAGAGTATTATCCCCAACATGATGATGAGGTGAAGTGCACAGAAGCTTAAAACATGGCTATTGTACCTTAGATAAAAAGTCAACAAGTGATCACACAATACACAGAAGATTGCTGGAAACCACTCAGTTTAAAGAAGTTATCATAAGACAATACCTATAGTAGTTCTTGGCAACATGACACCATGCTTCATAACTTCTTTAAAAAATAAAAAATAAAAGAAATAGCACCATCGAGTTGTAAAGTAGTTTAGGCACAAGGGTCAGAAGGTGAACAGAAAATCAGTACCAGCCACCCGGTTTCAGTTTCTTCAAAGGACTTTTTATTCACTCTTTTCTCTGACTTCTCTCCCCCGAGCATCCAAAAGCTCACCGTTTTTATCTCCAATTGGCACCACACCTGTGCTTGATTGGACACAGCCACAATGGAACAGATCAGACAAACAAAATCTAAACAGAGAAACACTAAAATTAAAATCTAATTTACAAACTCCTACATAATGAAGTTGTCTGCAAAACAAACTACATAATACAAGATAACTCAAAAGGTTACTTTAAAGAAAAACAAACAAAGCAATACACAAAAGAAAAACCCTCTAATTGGTAGAACCCAGGAAGGTAATCACTGACATCATCCAGCCATTTAAGCAGGAAGTACTGGGCCGGCCCCTCCCATACTCCTGCCCTGCTGCAGATCTACAAGGACAAATGATGGTGAGTACAAAGGAAAACAAATACCATAAATATACCTTGAAACAAATACAACCCATAATCCAAAAATAATAAGTTTAACCTAAACATAGATAGACCCTGCAACATAATGCTAACACAAACAAACCTGGGATAGTAAGTGAAGCAAAATTGCAATGTTTAAATTAATCATTATAACCAAATATAGAAAGTAAGTGGATGAGAAAGAATAAGGGACAAGTGGTGAACACAAACTGAACCACTTTGTCACACGAGTGAAAACAGGATAAAACAGGAAAGGACACATCACTAGTTTGGCAGTATTTCAAGTATTTTAAACAAAAAAGTAATCAATTATCAATAATGGCAAAAAAAAAATGTAAACCTTGATACGTTTTTTAGCCATGTCATCCAGCCCTAATCCCAGACCACACAGGTAAACAGAAAGCTTAGTTTTTAAATGAAGATATTTATTATTGATGGAGAAAAAAGATCCAAACCCACATGGCCCGGTGTGAAAAAGTGATTGCCCCCCTTGTTAAAAAATAACTGCGATTTATCACACCTGAGTTCCCCTTCTCTGGACAACCTCAGGTGCTGAAGATGTCCAGAACAAATTGCCAGAACTTTTTCTTCACTACTTCTTGATCTCAGACATTCGTGCGAACGTCTTTGTTTTTTCCCACGTTTTAAATTCCTCTCACTGTCCATCCAAATGACTACATTTACATGCAGATGAACATCTCCATCTAAACCTGATTAGGCCAGTGTTGTGTGATGATAGAAATTGCTGCGTAAAGACCTTCATTTGATTATTATAATCAGAGTGAAGTCCTAATCGGCCTACGTACAACAAGATTAAATCAGCCAGAGTTCTACCCAAATTGACGTTCAACTCCTCTGTTATTTTTATGTGTTGCGTCAGAAGCTGCACATCCCGTTTCATTTTTACACATACAGTAGTCAACCAATCTGTAAGGGAAAGCCTAAATACCGAGGCACAGCTAAAAATTTTAAATATTCATTTTGCTGAGACTGTGTCTTATTGGTCCAGTTCAAGCATGGTGATGTAAGAATCTGTCTTTGCTCAAATGTACCTGTAGAAATCCAGATCTGCCTCATCTTCCCTTCTCTCCGTTGCAGGAAGCACGATAACTCCCAACTACCTTGACAACTCCACTTCCAACGTGGGACCCTGGTGCTCCTGTGCAGCAAGTGGCAACCACAGGGAGCAATGCAATGACTTCTTGGCCTTTTTCCATGACAACATTTGTCTGAGTAAGTAACAGGAAGTAGCTGTGGCAAGAGCCAAAACATAACCGATTCAGTAAGGGACCAGAACAACTATGAAGAGAGCTGGTAGCTCTAAAAAGACATGTTTTTTAGAAGGGTCTAGTCTGGTAAAAAAAAAAAAAAACACTTATTTGCTAAATCAAGAAGGTCTCTACTCTCAACTATTGAGAAATGATTGCTTTATGGAGGTGTAGACACTGTTGAAGTTTTAAACTTTACCCAATTGTAGCCCCCAGAATTTGATTGGACATTGAAAAATATTGTTATGTGCAAGTTAGCCTATCACCAAAGCCTAATATAGCATCTCAGTGCTAAACATAGACATCCCCAGCGCTAATGTCAGCGTTCACAGTCCATTTAAGTTCCATGAACGATCAGGAGTTCCTGAAACACTGGAGAACTAAATATGTATAATAGATCTTTGCACCAATCTGATTGTTAAATAGCCTAAATAACAGATTAAAAACAATATATTTCTTTACTATTGAGCTCAAATGTCTATTCAACAATCCAGCAGCAAAAAGGGTTTCTGAATCGAAAATGTTGCTTATTTTGTCGATGTATGGTTTTTGATTAAAAAGCAATAAATTACAGACCCTGCAATGAACTCAATTAAAAAAAATTTAAATTGAGTCCCACCAGAACTTTAAATTGATCTAAGAACAACATGTGGATGTGGAGGAGCTTTTCTTCTGCGGGGACAGAAAATCAGAAAATTAAAAGGAATATGGATGGAGCTCAAAACTGGTCAATCCTGAAAGAAAACCTATTAATGCCTCCAACAGCCAAACGTACAATGGAACGGTTTAGATCAAAACATATAAATTTGAATGACCCAGTCAAAGTCTAGACCTAAATTTAGTCGAGAATCTGTGGCAAGAACTGAAAATTGTTGGAAGAATGATGACGTTCTGTAGCATGAAATGCCAATAAAATCCAATTTGTCGTGACAAAATGTTAATAAATTAATTGGGAATGACTCCCTCTCACTTTAAGAAGTGTTGCAGTCACCAGCTAGGACAGGATTTGTTTGCCTGTCCTCAGTGCTGCTCTAACACTGAGTATGCTTTCAGCCTGCAGTGGAATTAGCATCAGATCTATAATCAGTCTTCGGCTATTCCATTAACTCAAAGTACTGCATGTTCCGACACCTTTCCAAGTACCTCCTCTGTGGTGTCCAGCTGCAATTCAGTTCAGCTTCATTTTAATCTGTTTACTTTTATTGCACTGAATCAAAGCTGAAGCCACCACAGACAAAAAAAATTCATAACTTTAGCGCAATCATACCAAATTTATTCAAATATACAGTGGAAACCAGGTATTTACATACACTGAATAAAAATACAAACATGTTTTTCCTCACTGCCTGAAGTTAAATTAGGTAAAACTTCTGTTTTATCTAATTTAAAAACAAACTAAATTAGCTAATGTAATTATGGTTATTCAAAATATGGTTTGAATAACCAAAATTCATATTTGCTAAATGCCAGAAAACTTGCCGAGAACTGAGTGGAAGGCAATGGCCAGGCTAGTATAGAAGATAGAAAATGTATCCACTACTGCCTTTGTTTAAAGAATCAACGTTAAAGACAAGTCAAGCTCACCTACGTCTGCCTTTATAGATAATTTAATAACTGCAGTAAGTTGAGGAACAGATCTGGACTTTTTGGAAACTCAGTGAACAGCAGCATGACAAGAACACAGACAACCGATGGCGAAATGGAAAATAAAACCCTGAGATGCTGTACTACAGAAAGTGATTATAAAATGAAGTCAAGTGAGTTAATGAGGAAAGGAGGGGAGATGGGGAAAGGCAGTGCAGCTGCAAAGTAGCTGAAGTCACCAGAAAACCATCACAGAACACCAAACCTGTTACATGATGGACTAAAACAAAAACCAATGACGTTCTAACGTTACCTTTTATAAAGACACTGATCTCCTCTAACTGCCTGTTGGCCTCACACACTATTATTTTTAAATTATGACGTCTTCTTGTACACTTCTGAATTTTTGTAACTTAAGTTTTAACACAAAAACATAGTGGTCTGCTCTAGCGCCCCCTACCACCAGGCTTAGCAAGTTTTTTGGGGGGAATCCCTGACATGGATGAGTGTGAAATGATGGGCAACAATATCTTTCTTATGAAAAATCAAGAAAAGTTGGCAATTTGGCAGCCAGAACCAGATTTTAAAGAGTATCTTTAGCTGCACAAAGGACTGTATTATCAAAAATGTGTGTTTTATATATAACAGTGGGTGATAATGCTGCTAATGGAGACATTTTCAGTATAACACTGTTATAGCAGATAAACTACGGCTTACATCCAGCATTATCCACCAATTCTCTACAGTCTTAGACTCTGTGTTGTAGCTTTTATTCATCAGCCAGAGGCAACCAGGCTGCTTTGATGTTGAGAGATCATCCCTCCGAATGAATGATGCACCAGTGACAGAAAGAATGACACTGGTGACTAAGTAGTACAAATTGTGGCTGCTGGTTTCGCAGGCAGCGAAGTTTGTTTTGGGTTATTATTTTGTCTAACAATAGACGACAAGTTCTTACGAGGCTGTCGCTGTGAGTAACAGCATTAGTGATGAGCCAGTGACTCCAGAGACGAGACGAACTGTAACAGACATCATGTGGTGACAAAATGCAAGGTCACAGCTTGTTACGTCTGTATAAAGCTGACATTGTTTAGGCCCAGCGAGGGTAAGACTGTGCTTTAGATGCATCGTAGCTACTCTGATTTCACCAGACACAGAAAATATAGCAACTATTTCAAAGACAGCTGCTCTTTTTTATTATTATTTTTATTGTCTCCAAAGATAACAAATGTTTCAAATGAATACAGACTCTAAAAAGAAGTCTAAATAGCTATGAGATGGTGCTGAAGTCGAACCTAATTTAAACATTGAGTTAAGCTAAAAATAATAATACTGCTCCCTTCAGGCTAAGCATTTTGTTTATACATTATAGTTCTTTTTGAAATACACCAGTGGCAGTGATACTAAAGATGTTAAGGTGGAATTGCATTAGACTGACTCCATAACCACCATGGGTCTATACACCAACAACTTCAGCAAATAAAGTGACAAGTCCTGGATAAATGATAAAAAAAAGACACTTCAAAGATACTGTAGGTTAAAACAACTTTAATGCAAAACAGGTATGTTTATTTTAATCACTTTTTCCCAGACTTTAAAGTTGGTGTTTAGGTAGTAATAGTGTCGGTCAATAACGCAGTCATATTTTCAAATTTCCTGTAAACCTCAAACATTTTTCAGCTCACAGACACGGAAAACCACTGGATGTCTGCCCTGTGCTCCTACTGCTGGGCTTAGCAAGTTTTCTAGGGGAAACCCTATAAAAGGCTTTGTTTTCTATTAGATGCATTAATACAAAACCACATGCGAATTGGTAGTAGGTCACTTATTTCAAGCAGCATTTTTCCTCTCAACCTTCAAACTACTTCTTAACTTTCTTCTTCTTCTTCTTTCTGCTGCTCTCTCCATCGGTCGGTCCAGCAGATTATTGGATTTCATTTCATCTCAACTCTCTGCACATCCATTCATGAACCTTTTCTGTAGTTTTGCTCTTTTACCTCTCCCTGGCAGTTTCATATTCAACCTTCTAAATCCAAATTACTATTTTTGATTGACGACAATAACTTCATCTGAATGTGTGTGTGCGTGTACATACGTGTGTTTGTGTATTTGGGAAATAAAAATCAATATCAATAGGAGAGGCAAAATGGAAGAAATGATTTCCCAAACACATGCTGAGACCATGTGGCGATTCTGATCCTGTGACAAGGTGGCTGCTGTGTGTAGAACAAATGAATGAGTTACAAGATGATGGCTGGTCAACATGTTGCATGTAGGATCACGTGCTTAGTACTGGTATTCAACACGGGTTTGAATGTAAATGCGTCAAGCATGAACCAAGCTCTAGGCTCAGGTCAAACCAGGTTCTGGTGATGTTCTGTTGCGTTTGACCTCTGGTTGACATGGTAACGGCATACATTTGACAATTGGCCCCAGAGCAAAGCTTTCTAGAAACGCAATGCGAATCATGTCCATGTAAAACATGAACCGCAACATTTAGAGACACTGACATCAGTCACATTGTCTTGCTTTAAGGAAAAACATATTTAAATTCTCCTTTGAAGTCTAGTTCTGGTTCATATAAAAAAAAAAAAAAGTGAATTCATTTGTCCAAATGTTATGCGATACCCATATCCAGATAGTTTCTTAAACACCAAAACCATGCAAAAACATTTCTCACCTCTGGTAAATTCACTTTCCTCCCACAAAGGAGGAAAATGAATGAGTTTTTACAGATCGTCCTTTTCGTATTCTGTGAAGGAGGAATCTCGTTGCTTCTTATTCTTTAACGGTTAATCTCTAGGTTATCTGGTCGTTCTTTGTCTCCCAAGTCCACACGCAGCTGGAAGTTACCCGTCTGGGTTCCTTTGTTGGTGGAAAGAAAAGAGAAATGACTGCACATCTAGAGGCAGACCTGGGACTTATAGTTGAAGTGGCTTCTTGAATTGTAACAGTTGTCCTACAACCATGGAGGCAGCTGGAGGAAATCTTGCTCCAAAGAAAAAGTGTCCTCTCCGTAACTTTATCTGAGCTGCATTTTAGAGTAAATCTCCAACAATCAGAAAGGATTTTGTTTCCTTAACTAAATTATTTTTAGTCTGAGTGCACGACGGTACATATCTAAATAGAACTGCAGAATATCAGACAAATAACATTGATAATGATTAAGTTTAATTTTTGTTGTTCTTTTTCCATCATTAAAATAAATCTCCATTACTTTTACCTCTCAATAATCAACAGAGCATTTCTTCTTGGCACTGCTGCAGTTAAACCCTTCTTAAAATTGAAGGAATTTCTGCCAATCCCTCTTTTGCGATAAGCAGCAAGTCTTTGATGCTGGGAGTCCTCCTTACCATCTCACTCATTTTTAGCTCCATCCAAAGATTCTCTGTCAGATGTACCAA